TGTGCTKGTGTCTTTTTGTAGTGTCTGTAGGACACGGAGGCATTGGTCTTTTTATCCCTGGAGAGAGCAGTTTTCAGGCAGTGGTGCATTTCTCAGGAAATACTCTGAGGTAAGAGGAATAAATCCAGACTAAATATTTTTTCTCTGCTGGATCACTGATTCAGTGGTGCAGGTATGATTTTTGTCAGGCACGYTGGTGACATACAAGCAGCAGCAGAAGCCCACTAATGAGGCTGGTATAAGATGCTATRTTGCTCTGCTCTCTCAAATAACTAGATTAACTGCGTGTTTTCTTACATCCTGGAATGTGGTCAATAGCAAACTTGGAGGGGCACTGATTTTTTAGTAAAACCCTTCTGCAACTTACACAGGAATATTATGTAGCAAGTTCTAAAGTGCTTTTCTGCTGTTTCCCATCCAAGTGATTTTTCACGGTGTGTTTGGTGAGGAGTTATTAACTGCAAACAGATTGAAGTTCTGAGCTCTCCCGAGATCTGAACCGATGCTTGTCACTCAAATGCCCAAACATGAATCAAGTACAAATGTGAATGTTCACAGCCAGTGCAGTTCATTTGGAACAAGCATTCATTTAGCATTACACAAAACACAGCCGTCCCCTCTGACAGTCCTCACTTGTCCTGGTATTTTGAGGGAAAAGGGGGAGGACATTTATTCTTGATGGTGAACTTTAAAAGTATATTTTCTTTTTAAGTGCCAACCTATTCCTTTTCCATGTGTGTTTCAAAAATRTCTCTGACACTTTGGCTCGATACCCAGGTATTCCAGCTGTTATTCTAAGATGGTGGAAATTAAAATTCTGTTGACTTCACTGGAGCTTTGCCAGTTTTTCTCAGAGGAAGATTTGATTTCAGAATATTTTGTGGAGCCTAGATCTGACACAGGCACCGTGGGTGCTGGGTAGTGGCTGTACTGATGCCAGTAGTTGGGGTGATTGGGGAAGGGAAATTCCACAGTGTAGCAAAGATTGTGGTTCCAACCTCATCTTTCTCATCATCAACTTTCCATCTCATATGGAAATTAAATATTCGGACTGTCTCTTGCAAACTGGAAGAGATAAACTTCCACTGTGTTAAACTGTCCTTTTCTAAAGCGGAATGATGTGCTAAAGGCTTGAGAGTGTGGTCCTTACTCCAGGACGCTGATCACTTTGAGTCCAGTAGAGCAGAAGTTTGAGCCTTGCCCTCATGAATTTCCTGTTGATGCTGTAGTCTAAGGTCACTACATCCTGAAAGCATCTCTTTTTCACATCACAGATCTAAAAAAAATCTTTACATAGTAAAATTAAAGTGCTGTTTTTTTCATCTCAGAAAGCTAGTGCCTCAAATCATCCATGCTTTTTCCAAATGTATTCYCTTTCCTCTTAAAAGTTACTGTGTCTCTTTCAGTTTTTTTTTATCCTTTAATACCTCTCATATTACTACCACAAGGAAAAAAGAAAATTTAAAAAATCACCAATTGTTCCAGCAAGCACAAAGTGATGGAACTAATGTAGGTTTCATGTCACAACAACCTGGCCATGTAAGTAATGAATCCATTTGTAAGGTATCTGCTGACCTCCACAGACAGGTAGTTCCTGATCCTGACTTTATTTAGTTGTTCCTGTGCATAATCCTGCTGCAGATGTTGAAATTAATGATAAATCTCCTATGGATTTCAATGTGTGCAGGTTGAGGCCCTCATTTATTAAGGGTTTATCATTGCAAATTTGCTGAAAACACCAAACTCTCACATCTCCTATGGGCCTCATTTTCAGTCCTGCAGAGACATCATAATACCATGTTTGCRATAGCTGAGTCATTCCCTTGACAACAAATGGAGTCAGAAATACAAGATTCTGACCTTGCTGTGTGATAAAACAAAACAGAAAGGCTGGGCATCAAAGGTGCAAGTTTATTGAATACAAATACCTATAAACCCAGCAAGCTGATGGGARAGAAGCAGCAGATAAAGACCAAATAGTTCTCCTTCTCTGAAGTTCTGCCCCAAGGTAAATGTCCCTCCACAGATTTTTCTAATACTCGGATCTGCTRTGGTTAGCCTGAGTATTTTCCCCTGCAGAAAGCTCCAAGAAGAGCAAATGAGAGCTTGTTAATAAATCCATTTTGARTTCATTCCATTTTGAATAATTCCATTTTGAATTCTTTCTGGAGGATGAGCTGTGAAAAGCAATACTATTTGACAGCTTCTTGCAGTTTATTTAAAAGCAAGACACTTTGAGAAATGGTTTGAGATTGAAATATTGTTTGAGTTGCATTGATAGCCTTTGCTATAGAAATCAAGGCACAGTCAGTGAACTGCTCTGAATCAAATGCTGGATTGGTAAAAGATTTAGGGTAGGAAAAACATTAGTGGCTAACTGGCAGGGTGGACATTATGAGACAGGCCGGAGTGACAATGAGACATCTGCTCCCTGGCCTGTGGCAGGAACAGAGACAAGGCATGACTGGAAAAGCCCACATTTCCYACCAGTTCATAGGCAGAAAGAACTAACAGGGATGAGATGTGTTGCAGCTGGCCTGGCAATGAAAGAGTAGTTTCAGACTGAAGTAGCTTTCATACCATTTCTAAAGGATTGACAGCAGTAAAACAAAAGTTTTASGTGCTGCTGGGAAGACTGGCAATCCTCACAACAGTGAGAGGTGGATTTTTAAGTCCTAGTTTGAGTTTGTGAGAACATTTTTGAGACTTCCAGTTGTAAGGAACTTTTGAAGAGTCACTCACAGGATCCTAGCCTTTAACAACATCAGCATGAAGACTCAGTGTCTTGAAGAGGATAGTTTGAATTGTCCCAATGCAGAGTTAACTCAAATCGAATCTTCCATGAGAACTACACCTGTTAATACATGCAAACAAATTTCTTCATGGCTTCTGGAACCTGGCAAGGGTCTTTCTCCTTATAGATGAGGCACTATGATAAATGTATTTGTCATATTGCTGTATATTATGGATGCAATGAGGAATTAAGAATGAGAAACATCGATGAAAACAGCTGTCACTGGCAGTGCATTGGTTTACTCTGAATGCACCAAGAAGTGCCTGTTTCRTGGCATTACAAAACCCAGAGAGCTCCAGCCAAGAGTTGTGGCTGCTGACCRTGTGCATAATGCATTTAGCGTTGACTGTAAACACAGAAGATCCTCCACGTTTTGCACAGCCCATAGGCTGATGAAATCCAGGGGGGAGGAACGATTTCAGGTCTGGACTAGAGAAGGGAAAGTCTCATTAATACAGCTATTTATGCCTTGTGCTTTGAGAACAGGGACCGTAGGAGCAGATGCAAGGCAGCCAGGTTGGTGAAGCTTTGATTTTGTGGGTAAATGATCACTGTACCCAGGGAATTTGCCTAAGGGTGCTCAAAGTCAGTCCCACTCACACCCTGGCATGTACACCTTATCCACGGAAAGTTCCACTATAAAGGGATCTGAGTTTTCCTTGGCCTCAGCAAGCAAATTACAATGCAGATACTGTGGGCCTGAAATGATAGAGCAAGCAGCTGCTGCTCTGCTGCCTTAACATCTGCCTGACATAATAATTAAATCTCCTCAGCCACTCAATATAATGGAAGCAAACCAACTACAACAGAAGGATTTGCAGTACAGCTGTCTCGTGATGTGTAACTGCAGCKGTATATTTACCTTTATAATTAATTCTGTAAGCATTTATATGGAGTTACAAGGGACTGAGTAATTTAGAAAGCAGTGGAAGAGATCATTAAAAATAGCAAAAGGCATAATTACTTTCTTCTGCTATCAGTCTCCTCCTGATCTTCTCTGCTGATGTTCCCCATGGACTATTCATGGTGGTGCTATAGTGGGACAAAGACTTTGCCTATTAAGCACCCCGTAGTGGGAAGAAGCCCTAATTTTGCTGCAGGACTGGCACTGCCTGTGACTTGAACACAATAAATTAACTTCCTTTTCTGGATATCGTGGGTCCCACTTCAGTGGATGTTCTGTGCTGGCATTTATGATGTAGGCTGGTACCTAATGTAGCTGCATTAAGCGCTGCATTTATGTTCATTTTAAAAATCTTTGTTTGATGAAATAAGTGGGTTATTGAGCCCTTTTTATCAGAATTCTTTTAYGGAGACTTGATTTTTTTTTTTTTTTTGAAACTCAAACAGTTCAGCTCATTGGCAGGAGTTACCTAGGAATCTTGCCAGTGGAAATCTCCCTTCTTAATTAATCTTTTCTGAATTCTGTAGCCCTAAATATCTTCTCTACTGGTCATGCTAAATTAAATTCATGAGGTTAACTGATCTACTCTAGGTTTGCACCAGCATAAAGAAAGGTGTAATGGGAGTCTTTTGTGTGTCCCCATGACTGCACAGCAATGGATATGACTTTAATGTCTTCTTCACTGTCAGTGTTGTTTCTCTCATTCTTTTGCATCACATAAAGTTCTAAGRTGGGCCTGGTAAGTTATGAGGTTACTGAGGCAGGCTGCACTGCGGGGCCTTTTTTCTGACCTTGAGTCTTGTAGAGCCCAAAGCCAAAGCACGTTGCTGCAGGGCAGATGCCTGGGAGCTGGATGAGCTGTGAAGAAGCTCCTTTCTGCTGGCAGAGGGCAGAAGCTGGTTCCTCTCTTTTAAGCACCAGCACTCTCATTTTACTGAYTGGGGAGGACCAAACACAGACCTTCTGTGCTATATGGTATCTGTGAGGAGACCACACAGTTGTCAACTTGGGTTGTGAGCATCTGTAACCGCCACTTTGTAACTGGAAAATGGACTTAGAGGCAGTTCTAGAAAGTCAGCGGCGTTTTCCTTCTAGAGGACAACAGCTTGCAGCAGTGAATTCTTGAAAAGTGAAATATTCTTGTAAAAGACATAATTTAATTTCAGTGTGTCCAGCACTCAGGCTGGATCCTAGGCCAAGGTTAACAGGGGTTGTTCTGACCCTCTCCCTGGCAGTTTTGATGTATTTGACCTCCCCAGTAATTATTTTTCCCTGAGCTGCTCTTTGGTTTGTGTTTTTCAGAGGCGCTCTGGAGGCGTGTGCTCGTACCTGCATCGCGTGTGCTGGGCAGCCCTGCCCCTGCARCTGCTCCTGCTGCTCCTGCTGCTGCTGGCCTTCCTCCTGCCCCTGGCAGAACAGTCCCACAGCTGCACACTGACCAACAACTTCGCTCGCTCCTTCAAGCTGATGCTGAGATACGAGGGCCCACCTCCAACGTAACTGCTTGGCATGGCACGAGGTGACTGTCAGAAGCACAGACTCTTTGTTTTTAATGGCAACTATTGTAGATTTTAGGACTTCTAACATGGCCATCTTGTCAACTGGATAGTTCACATAAATGCARCATAAGATTAATCCACTTTAATCAGGTATTTGAGCAAAATTAATATTTTTACATTTTTTTATTATTGTATTTATAATATGTATATAGAGGTTGTGTATGTGTATGTATATACATATATATATAAATGCATATCTGTGGTCAAACTAACATCTACCATCCACTCATCCTCTGTTTAAAGATAATTCTGCAATGTTTCTGCCATCTTTCAGCAAGCAATACTGAAGGATGCTTTTGTTGCAGATGATTTTTAATATCAGATTCCTGTTTACAACTGAAGTCAGAGTGAGTATGAGCACAAGTGGTCATGCACCAGAGTGTAAACTGGAGATCAGGCACAGCAGAATCATGTTTGAATAGAGTGGTTGACATTCAGCCCAAGGAAGATTTGGACTATTMTCTTTGAAATCTTGAGCTTCTTTTTCAGTATCTGGATACAGGGATTGCAGAAGTTAATAGAAATGTTTCTACTGACTTCAGTAGGAGTGGGGGTGGACCTCCTCTTGTTCTTATTTTTTACCAGATTTCTTTTCCAATTACTGTATTCTTCAGCCCACCTGAATCAGGAGAGGTGGAATACAGTAGGAGTAAAGCTAGGAAAAAAAAGAATATTTTTTTAGCATCTCTCTAGCAGAACTTTTAAAATCAGGTCATAATTTTCTGAACAAATTTGTGAGCACTTGTACAAAACCTTGTATCACCAATCTTGTCTATAAAAAGGAGTGGGGTGTTTTTGTTTTGTTTTGTTTTGTCTTGTTTTATGGGGTGTTTGTGGTTTGATTTGTTGGGKTTTTTTTTACTTTATAAAGAGGTATTTGGTAATGGATCATAAAGCCTGAACACTGGCTCAGTGTCAGTGAAGCAAAAGTTGGAAGTACTTTAGTAATACCACCCTGGAAACAAGATTCCTACCTAGGATGATTTTATAGTAATGGTTTATTGAAATTATGTAAACTGATTGTTTCAAAGACAGTCAAGCATAGATTTCTATGTAGTCTAAACTCCACAGTGATGACAACTTGTCATTTATTTACCTAWGCCTCATTTATCAAGTTTTTGAATGTACATTTTAACATTGCCTTTTAATGTAAAAGCACTTCTCACTTCAGAACGATGAAGCCATTCTTAGTGGTGTTTTATCTAATTGATTCCTGAGAGAAAAAGTAATTTAGAACGATTTGTGCTATTTCTGAGAGCTATCCCTTATTGTTTCATGTTTTTAGCCACAGTAGTATTCATGAAAAAAAATTAACAGAAGAAACAGTTACTTTCCATCTCCTGCAGTAGGAACTTACCTTCTGTGAATCAGTATGGGTATTTGGTGTTGTTTTGCAAATAAGGTCTAAAATAATATTAAATCTGTTGTGCAGGTAAATTATGTAGTAGCTGAGAGACTGAAGGAAAAAGTCACTTATTTAACAAAATCATTAAAATTTCAAAGAAGCAAACTTGGGTAAAATTGGGAGGCACAGCAGCACGGAGCTCAATTTAGRCACAGGATTAGGAAGAACAGGCAGTGTGAAAGAGGAGCAGCCAAACACAGAGAGATGACGTGTCCATCAGTTTGTAAAGCCTTAGAAAAGGAGTCACAACACAGAGGACAACAGTACAGGCTCTGTGGAGGAAAAAATCTCAGAATCTTTTTGGTTCCCTCTCCCTGCTGCAGTTTTGGTACTATTGCATATTAGACAGCTTTTCTTCATTAAGGTTTAAACTGGGGCGAGTAACAGGGCTTCTGCCAGTGTTCAGAGGAGGCTCTTCTGCCACCAGGACTCTGTCACTGTGTTCCTAATAATGCTTCTGACTACACTGGGTTTGCTAGCATTGGATGAAAATGCCAAAATTTTGCTGAAAGTGTAAAGAGTGGAATTAAAGGAGAGGCAACAGGGATGATGAAGGGATCAGTCAAAGTGCAAGAGGAGCCTGAGCAGGAGTTGAGCTGATGTGGGTTAAAAACCTGTCAGGAATTAGCAGGAGAGCCCTCAGAGCAGGCAGAAGGCACTGGAAGCAGAAAGGTGAGGAGAGTTCGTGTATAAGCAAATGAGACATTCACGTCAGGAAGCAAAGGAAGACCTGTGATTTCTTTCATGGAGAAGCCAGATGGAGAGGAGCTATACCTCTTCAGAGAATGGGGCAAATTAATTCTTTCTTTGCAACCATTCTTTCTGGTGGCAGAGAACATTCCTCCTCCTCTCCTGATGAGGTGTGCAAGTGCCATGCACATTCCTCTAAAAATTGCTGCCAGCCCTGGGGGAAGAAACCCCTGTGGCTGCCCAGCAAGGAGTTAATCATCACACACATCTCCATGTCAAATTAAATCTTCCTTTAGAAAAAGTGTAGGAGTGGAGGGGCAATAACAAAACTTGTTCTGTGTGGTTGTGGATTTGTGTAGGTGCRCACACACTTCTGTGATGTAGCTACATTGCACTTCTCAGAGTTTTACTGAACTATYCCATGTGATGAAAGTAAAATACCAGTGAGAAAGTAAAAGTAATGAGGAATAATAAAGCTGCAAATGGAAATCAGTAGGGAGATAGAAAAGTTTTTTTCTATGAAAGCACAAAATCTCATATCAGATTTCATTCTGCAGAGCCTGTCTGATCTGGGTGATTTGTATGGGTTCACAAATGCATTTGACACATGGGAGTGYGTAAGTGGGAGAAAAAAAATTCCACACTGAGGATCTTAAGAGAACAACTGCATCATCACCTTGATGTTTCAGTGTTGTGGCAGGTTTGAAAAAAAAAAGCCAAACAACTAAATTAGAAACACACTTTTGCTGCTGGGTTTGCAATCATTTTATTCTGTTAGTCCCCTGTCTGTAATCTTGGAAAGTTTTGCTTTAAATCTCAGTCAATCAATTCTCATTAACTTAAATAATCTGAATATCTCACAGAAGTGATTAATATTTCTACTTCTTTGCAATGAAAACTCTCCAAAGCACAGGACTTAAATGTTCGTATTGCTGAAAACTGTTTAAGTCTTCCATAATGTCATTGACCTCACCAAGGCAGGTGTGAGATTTTTCTGGCAAAGAAAGAAGTAAAAAAATCACAAAAGTAAGCTTGAGATGTAAATGCAAAATTCACTTTCTTTTTATTCTCCTGTGGGTTTTTTTCTGAAAAACTTATGATGYTGATTCCTGGAAGTGTGCGTAAATATTAATCAAGTCAGTAATTGTAATAATGAAAACAAACTGCCTGGTCCAGCTTCCAGGAAAGTGTACAAAGCTCAGATTCCTCAAAACACAAACTAAATCATACTTTCCAAATCAGTCCTTAAAATCTTGAGCAAGGCTCCTCATCTTTGCTCACAGATGATTTGGTGGTTATATGCTCACTTTTGTGCCTATGAAATCCCCAACTCATACATCTCTGACATCCAGATGTAACTGAGATGTGTTGTAGCTCAGGTTCAGATGGGGGCCACTGCCTTATGCCTTCCCTTGCCAAAACATAGGATGCACAGAACCTACGATGTGTCTGCAAATGAGGACTTGGGCTGTTTTGCCCTAATCCAGATGCAGCCACTGTCAAAGGGTGCTAAAACCATCTAAAATACATGGAATATGTCTGAGGCTGTGACGCTGTCTGCACTCCATGCAGTCACCCAGCCTGTTCACAGAGCTCTGTCCGAGCTCTTGCCTGGCCTGTTTGACCCAGGACCTGCTTGACCACACTGATGACCCCACAGTGCTGAATGCACAATCCTGCACTCCTTGCCCATGCATTACAGGAAGGCATTGCCCAAAAGCACCCTTCAAACCCAAMCTTTGGCAGGAAAGCAAGCCTAATTTGTAAACTCTAATCGATTTTGAAGCCTGATGCTTTCCAGAGAATTTTCCATGACAGCAATGAAGTAGAAAATTGCTATTGCGCCCCATGCCTATTAACAGCCCTTTCTCTGATTCCAGCCAGCAATTGAAATGGTATTAAATATTATTTATATATGCCCTCTCCAGAAATCTCTGTATGAAAAACTGTTCTGAGCAYGTACATTGAAAATGTTGTATCCTCTGCTAGCACTGGATCTCCAGAGCAGTCACGGTTTCTACCAAGTGCTACCTTGTTTGTGCTGACCAAGATACAAAACTCAGACATTTGAGGCTGTAAATAAAGCTACTAGGCTAGCTAAAAAAACCATCTAGTGACCACTGAATAATTTGGGGAGCTTTTAGAATGGCGTTATGCTTCTCCTTAATCTGTTTTGCTGGAATAGTTGAAGACCTCAGAGAGAAGAAATGTCTCCAAGTAATGGCCATTGCTAGATAGACAACTGGTGATCTCTGCGTGCCAGAAGAAATAGTATTTTCTCTTCAGTTGCTCTAGACCTCAGGAGTTTGTTACATCTGACCTCCTCTTCAGCATTAAATAGGAAATGTTTTGCTTTGATGTGAGTGCATACACATCTCATTAGCACTAAAGAGATTTGAAAAGTGAGTTCATGTACAATAATTCTTTTAACTTGTGTTGACAAGAGAGTACATTGTCCTCTTTTCTTCAGGAAAAAAACCCAAAACCAAACTGCTGTGTGACAGAGATTCTCAGAGCAAACAAAGCCTTTTGGAATCCCAAAAAGATTACAGAAAGATTACAGACTGAAACGAAATTATCCACCGTAGGAAACAGGAGAAATAGTTCTGCCTTTCAAGAAATGTTGGTATAAAACCCCCAAAAAACATGTCTTTGCCCAGCATCATAGATATCTTTCAAGTTATAGGTTATGTACCCAGCTGGCTATAAGAGCTGCTTTTGGAGACTTTACTACCCCTTGGACAGTATCATTTGTTAGTCTGCAGCTGAAAATACATTTGCCCAGAGAACCTTATATCAGCTTCTTCCAGAATCACTGGGGGCTGTTGAAGATATTCTTAGCAGTTCCCAGATCACTGACCTGCTCTGAGCCATTACAATTTTATTGCATTAATTTATCTGTCAGTGGTTGGCAACTCTCGGAAACCAGTTTATTAAAATACTACAGATAATATTTCTGGTGCAGGCAACATGGTTCATTGAGAAACCAATCTTACTACTTCTGTTGTATTTAGAAAGAAGATATCTATTGGTTATAATGGAATATAAGCAGGTTAGTTTTAGGTTTTGGGTAACTGGCATATTTTGGGCGTAAAGGATTTTGACTTGTACATATCTGTTTAAGAATTGTGGGGTCATGTTGTACTTGTTAAATGATAAAACAAAACAAGGATTCTTGAATTTAAGAAAAGAAAAGCAAGCAATGAAGCAGGACGGAATAATCTGTCATRCAGCTGGGTTTTTTATTATCTCTTGCCTATCCAATTTAAAAAATTATTATGTTGCTGCCAGAGAGTTACCAGTAGATCTGGAAAACAAAGAATATATATCAGGAATACACCAATTCAAACTACAGCCTAAATGGCACCTCTGTTCCCTAAGCTGCTTCAGCAATTGCCAGATTTTACCTCACTGTACCTGTGAGTTAACAACCCCCACCCTGGTAGAGCGTGAATARAATTGTATTGATCATCTTAGGGTACAGCATCCTAGTGGAGCAGCAGGAGATATTAGGTTTTCAAAAGGCAGCCTGATACCTCGATTCAGTAGAGGAGCATGTGGGTTTGGCATAATGAGAGCAGTCCAGGACTGATGACACAGGAGCAAGGGCTTGCCATCCTGCTCTGCCAGACAGAATTTTGACAGCGGCCGTCAGCACTGTTCAGTTTCATGTCCCTGGCTGTGGAAGGAGGCTCCCCCCAGGCTGATTTGCTCTAGCTGAGATTTGAGCCCTGGAAGTGGTTTTTTCCTCTTCATTAAATACAGAAAAAGCTGCTAAATTAAAACCCCTCAGTGACAGGTTAATGGTAGGTGGTGGGTGCTGATGCTCCAGGAAAAGGTACAGGAAATACTATTATAGATAGAATGCTAGTCATGATGGTCTCTGTTCAATCCTCAGGAGGTAGAAATTCATTGTAGAGCTGAAGTGGGAGTTTTTCTGTTCCTTTTCAAGTAAATGTCAGGTGTTGTCTTTAGTCTTCTGGATTTTGGGGATGAGCCTATTCTGTGCCTTACTGAATTCTAATGGCATTCTGGCTTCAGAGCCATTTACAGCAGTGAGTGCCACATTATTTCTACAAGTGKTGTGAAAACCCCCTGGATTGGTTTTGAATCAGAAACTTTTTGTTTGSGAAGTGGGGATAGTTTGATTTTCCTTTTTTTGGCCTCTTTGTGTTAAATCCAAGGAAGCAGAAAGACCAGCACTACCTTTTCCAGGCCATGTTTCACCTTTCCTTCTTTTATGAAAGCAGAGATTTGGCTTAATTTCCTTCCTAAAGTAAATTATCCCAGTTTTTTATTCTTCTTTTCCTGTTGCASTTCTTCCACAGCCTAGGCCATTCCTGTCACCCAAAGTGTTTCAGTGGCAGTTCTTCCTCAGCACCTAGAGCAAAATATCTCGTCCAGTTGCAAGAAATTTAAAATTCAAAGCATTTTTCCCCCATTGAAGTTCCTCCTGCAGATGCTCTGCCTATTTCTGTTGATCCCTGTGTCAAACCAGCCTTCATCACTATCTGAGGGGACTCTAGTCCTGGCCAGCCGTCTCTTCCAAATCTGCTGACCATGTCCTGTCCTCATCTGCCTTAGGTTTTGGCTCAGGGACTGCCCTTAATATTCACATCTGCAGACAGGAGTGTGAGGGTGTCACTTAACAAACAATTATTAATACCAAAAGCTTCTCCATTAGCATCATTCAGAGCCTGCCCAGAGTCTTTTTTCCTTCTCTCCAAGCAGGTTTTGGTGTGTAATCCAATTACAGTGTGCAGAAAACTGTCCCTCAGTCAGTGCAGAGGGCTGTTACCCTCGCACTGTCACTGCTGGGGTAAGAGCTCCCAGGTGCTGCTCTGTGCCCTTGAACTGCCAGCAGTGTTTCAATGTCGTTGTAATACACCCTAAATAAACCAGGACCCTTTTTTTTTCTGACCTGGCAGGGGGGAGGGGGAGGTGGGAAAGAAAATGAAAATGRTCGCTTTTAACAAACTGATTTCACAACTCATTTATCAAGCCTTATAGCAAGCCATTTATTTTAGCTGTGTTTTGCTGCATGAAAAGCTGTGTGTGAAAAGGGAGAGGTGATTTTGGAGAGTGGGCTGCAGTGCCACTGCCCTCAGCAGCGCTGGGCTGGGAGGCTCCCACTACAACTCAGGGCTAGGAGCTGATATTTCTCCTGAAGTGACTCCCACCTTCAAAATCAAATTATTTCTTTTGTCAAGTATAATAAGCACTGAACTCCCCGGACTTTGTTTCACTGCAGATGTGAATGAATGCCTCTGTGCTGTACTTTCCATTGCCATGAAATAAATGTATATATGTGTCTATATATATGTGTGTATATATATACATATATATGTAATGGGGAGCATTATTATTGTTCTACTTTAAGAAAGGTGACATTCCACTTCAATGTAACTTTCAAGTGCAGYTTTTAAGAGAAACTGTGTCTTAAAGGGGAATTGGAAGAGTATAGAAGTAYATGTTTTAATGAGCTTTAATGAAATTTAATAAGCTTTGAGTTTGGGTTTCAGCCTCTAGGGTTAAAAGCACCCAAAATGATTTCTTTCCCATCACATTCCCAGATCAAACTCTGTGAGAATTTAACCTGGGAGCCATTGCTTGAGCCCTGGCCATTCCTCAAGGTATTTGGGTGTTGSATGTGCTAAGCGTGTGTCCTGAAACACCAGCCTCTGTTTTGTTCRTGGGCTTGACTGGAAGGCAAAAGATACACCTTACCCTGATAGTGATTTTTGCCTCAGCAGAGGTTTTCCCTTTGATCAGTGTGACTCTTTCCGGTTTGTTTTCCCTTGTAATTTGTGTCAACTGAGTTTATCGGGTGATTCCAGGAGGGCACGCTCCATCTGCCATCAGAGCTTCCCTGCCAGCAGCACCGTTTCTCATTTGTTTACCTGACAGCACAGGACCACTGTGAAGCAATCACACGAGCAATAATGCAGGTGTTGCGTTTTTCTGTCATTGCCTTTCGTAAGAAATAACTCTCCATTGGCACTGAGAGGTGGTAGGAGCCCCAGAAGCTGCGCTGTTGTTTACTGGCAAAATAACCCATGTCCAGTGTTCCTGCAGAGGACCTGTCCTCACTCCTCACAGCACTGGGCTGTCTTGGGCCCAATTCAATCCACAAACTTGGATTTTAAACAGTTTTGGGTCCTTTCACCAACACTCCATCAATCTCGCTTCCATCAGGTTTTTTGTGCTTTTGTTTAGTTTCAAGCTAGAAGAAAGTTTAAAGAAATGTGCTAAGACTGCCATATAGGGTGAGYAAATACCCATATATTTCACAAAAATTGCAGAAAAATGAAGGGCTTTGCTCCCACATTGAACAGAATTAATAAGAAGTTCTGACTGATAAATTAAATAGTTATTAAAAACAGCCTGGAGCAAAGTTCCTGCAATCCAACTGTTCTCTGCTTTTAATTTAAAAATCAGCAAATACTGAGGTACATTTTGCCACCTTCTTTTAGAAGTGACCTGAAACTAAAATATGAATCCTCCATAACAGGAGGTTTATTGATGTGAATGTAAACTTCACCAGCATGTCCCATTTAGTTCACCCTCCTCTGGGCCCAAGGAAAACCAAAGGCTTTTCACAAGAGAAACTCATGTTATGAATGGTTTTAAAATTCTTCAGAGCTCCTATCCACTTCCAAATGTCAGTAATGGGGAGGATCAGAAACCTTCTTGTGAACCCTGTCATTTTGCATGTTGAAATCCTGGCTTGAATTCAGGTCTCCACCTCAGTTCCTTGTAAATGTTAATATTCAAGTAGAACAAAAACCTTAGAGGCAATTATAGCATGAAACATCTCTTCTTGTTTATGTATAGTAGCTGATAGCAAAGTCTGCAATAATAATCTGTGTTTATACATGTGCTGTTCAATGTAACAGTTGGGTACAAAATACCTTTTAGCTGTCACAAGAAAATAACTGGATTGATGTAACTTTTTGCTTGTATGAATATAATTATTTGCCTTGCGGGGACCAGTTCCACTTTTGTCATGTTATTTATGGTTTTTAAATACAATTGTGATAAATTAGGCTCGTTTCTAAGGTAAACARTACCGGAGCCAAGCAGCTGTCTCCGTACATGTGCATGTTATCACAGCTGATATCAAATCCAAGTCAGACTCCTTGTCTTGCTTGGACCTTTCTTTAACCTTTCAGGCTTATTCAGGGAAATGCGGACCACTCTATTTTCTTATTAAAAATATGGCTTTGTGAAAAGCTGAACTTATTTTTTAAATCCTTTCTTTTCTGGTTCAGAAAGACTGTAACAATCATATTTTTCTAAACTGCCTATTGCTTGCATTGGGGAAATGATATAGAGATATATATTTTGCTCTACAGATTTCCATGTACTTTTGGAACTCTTTCGTTTTCGTAGATAAATCCTCCTATTTGCTAGAATTAGCTAAACAAGCTGTAAGCTTCTGTATACTGACTCTGTGAAATTCTATAACAATTCAGCTGCATAAAAAGACTGACTTTATTTTTTATGTAAATTGTTAGAGCTCAGTCATCCTTAGTGTTATACCATACAAGATGTACAGAAAGAAATCAGGTCATTGTTTCGAGRGGCTGGACAGCGTTATGTCACACTTCCTAAAAAAGTCCCAACTGAAAGCCAGGAGAATTTATGCTAAAAATGGTACTGCTTTGGGCCCTGAGTCTGTAGTTTTTTCACACTGTTTAGAACCTTATTTCAAAATTAGTCCCATAAGACTTCGTGGAAAATACTAARAGCCTATGGCGTGTGAATGGCTATGATAGACTAAGGGTCTTTTCTAATGAAGAACAGGGCCTTTTAAGTAGTTAAGAGGCTATGTTTTGAGTATTTCAGGGCAACTTTTTGTGTTCTTTTCTGAGCTGTGGACTCCTCCTGTGTATTGTGGATTTATTCCATAGCTGAAATGCCAGATTAAATTGATTAAAGCCCCATGAGCAGATGAACATAATAGAAAGCTGCAGTGAAATATTGCAGAAAATGGCCTGATTTCATTCTTCACAGCAATAGTTAAAGTAAATCACAGCCTTGGCTTCTTTGCACCTGTGAAGCAGAGGCCCTTGTTTTGTACCTCAGCTGTGGTGTAACATGGAAGGATTTCTGCTCTCTGCTTGGAAAATACTGTCTATTCCTCATCCTTGTCAAAGCATTATATTTTCTCAAGTTAAAAAATCTGATTCTTCAAGACTCATTGGGGAGTTAAGGGGCAGCTGKAGCCTTCTGTGATCCAGCCACATTATTCCAAAAGTTTACCCCTCGATGACAAATAAAATATGATGTGACTTTGCTGTTTGCAAGTAGGATAAAGACACTGGAAATTCATCACCCCAAACCCTTGCCTTGTGACTGTTCTGTAATGCTCCACTGTTACCAATGAACTGTGTTGAATTGGATTATAAAAWCAGAGTATTTTATTGCATGTGTCCTTTTTTTTAAATGAAAATATAGTTGTATTTGATGTTGCAGTTATAATGTAGTAAATAAACATGTGCATTCCTTTTTAAGGGCTTTTAGATTATTTTGGGTGGTGGTTGCACATTTTGGCTGTGCTTGGTTCTTACCATCAGAGTATTTGGGCTGACCTAGAAATAACCAGAGTAAGTGAAGCAAGGATAAAATTTGCTGCTGCCTGCCTTTGTGCTCAGGTATCATTGGAACATGGCTGTGCTCAATGTAGCTACTTCATTCTTCTCCTTGGAGATTTAATAGAAAATGTCAGCTTTTCTGTAAGTTATTTAAGTAGAATTCTACTGGACCTGAAGAAAATGTGAATGTTAAATCATATTAAGTGTGGTTTCTTATGATGTTGGCCCCTGACACTCTCTGTGGGGTTCTCCGCAATCCCAAACCTGGTAAGACAAAAGGGAGGTTTTTGAGAACCTCGGGTTTGAAGTTTATGAGAGTAACCACAGCTGATCTCTCTGAAAAGAATTGCTGCAGCATGTGTATATGGATGCACAACTCTCATTAGCATCTGGGAAATTGCTGATTTCTTTCCTGAATCTTTATGAGACAAAGTCTGCCAGTATCCATGATATCAAAGGCTCCACAGGCAGTTATTTCTGGACCGGTAGAAAACCACTACAATTTTTTGGTGAACCTGTGGGTTAGGTTCCCTGTTGCTTTTATGAACACACTGGGCTTTATGGAGGTCTTTGACTTCTCTCAGCTATTTGGACCATGTGATCTTGTGCCTTCCTATGAGCTGTCTCCTGCTAAGCCCCCAAAAGTACAAATGCAGACACTTCAGCTGATCATAGCCATGTCAAGGTCAGAGCAGCAGCCTGAATTCCTCCCATGAGAGAAGAGGGTAAAACAAGGCCAGGGCTGTAGGAACAGCAGACTGTCGTGGTGSGACAGTCACATTCCCAGTAGGACAACAATTGGTGCACAAAAGAAATTTCTGTTCTTACAGGTTTTGTTTTGCCTTCGTAATGCATTTTTCCATCTTGCAGTTTGTTTTTTGTGGAGACAGAAAGTAGTCTGCTTTGTGTATATCAGGCCTGTTCCAGAAGAACAAAAAACTTGGGGCTTCATTTTGTCCCAGACATTGTACAGAGACCAGGAAAGACCTTTGTCCAGCAAGGAGGAAAAGTGCCTATGATCAGATGAAACAGCTCATACTTGTATGGGGAATGAATATGTTGTTGACCAGGTTCAGCCTGCAAACAATCCTACAGCTGATTGGTGGAAATTGTAACAGTTAACAAGAATTATTATAAACACTTTTAGAGGACAATGAAATACTCCAGGTAGTTATAAATCTCTTAAGTCATATATTACTGGAGAAACACCTGTTTTAGATAGCAACATTGCTGCTAGAGAATGGAAGTTTAGATTGTAGCAGCAAAAGGTGGCAAGTTCAATAAAGAAGAATAATCGGGTAAGACCCTCCAGTGGAGTAAATCAGTGTAGCTTCATTGGAGYTGTTGGAACTAAGTCAATTTACAGCAGTAAGAATCTGGCTTGTAGTCAACAGGGATTTTACAGAATGTTTAAAACCTCTCCATTTAGAGAGTTCTCTGCCTTATGTCYGTGCACTAAATCGTATCCGCACGAAAGTCCTCGCTGGTATAATGAGGTCATTTCGGATGTGAGCGTTCATTATGTGCTTAGGTAAATTAAGGGGGAAAAAATACATCATTAGCAAAGTCTTAAATAAAGAATGGAGCAAGGTTACCGAGTGAGAACTATTTAAATAAAATCAATCTCAGCCCTGGAGAGTTAATGGGGAGTGGCTTTCCATGGAAAAAGGCTGATGGTGTGTTGATGATGCACATAGAAGCTGAGCATCACAGCCATGAGAGATTAAAAGCAGGGACTGAGGTTTTTTCTAGGTTAATATTTCAAGCTTTCTAAACTTCATTCTGTGACATACCATGAATGCAGCCTAGGTTTCCAACTTCAGAAAAATGCTCTGATAAACACATATTGCTGGAGCAAATGAAACTGAAGGCTCATCCGGTTTTACTGTAGCACTTGTAGTATTAAGAGGGATTGTAATATAATCCTCTTCAATGAATAACCCTAACAGATGTTATCAGGGTTGCTCTGTACGAGCTGTGGACCTCTTGCTAGAACTCCCTCTGAGGAAGTCCAGTTCATAAATTGTCCTAATGGGCTGCCTGCCTCGTCCTGCTGCTGCCACGGCATGAAAAGGAGGTGGTTACCAGCGGCCTTGAAAGCCGGCATTATTCCCATCTGCTTTTCATTACAATACTGCTAAATATTTCATGCTTTTTGTTTTACAAACAAATAAGAGCAGAACTAATCTTTTTGTTTAATGTTCCTTGATTGACATTTCAGGGAGGGAAAAAAGTTTTGAGTTTGTTTTGATTTTTTTTTCTTTACTTCAGATCTCTGCAAAAGCTTTTAATGGAAGATAGAGCAGATTTCCGTTGACTTTTCTGGTGGGCTTTTTATGGCACCATCGATACAGGAAAAGATACGGGGGAAATCCAGATGATGAATGTGCTGTTCAATCAGCTGGGATTTCTTTGCTTGCGAGGAGATAACTCGATGAAGTGCAAACAGAGACAGGGAGCAGACGTTGACTGCTTGTCAGCTGCACACAGAGCTATCTCTGGCTGGGACTGCTGGCAAACACAGCACCTATTAGTCCCCCTGTGCCCTTTCACAGCGCCCTGTCAGAGGGTCCCCAAGCACTGCAGCCAGAGCCATCCATTAAATCTCGGGGCAGCAAGWCTGTTAAATTGCTGCTTCTTTGCAAGGAGGCGGATGGCAGCCCTGGGAGGATTCAGCAGACATTTTAACCTCCTGGTTCCCTCAACTCCCGCTGAGGTGGATGAATGAAGGCGTTCCTRTGGGCACTCTGCATCTCTAGCAGCAGGTGCTGCCTCTGCCCCACAGGGGTGTGGGGGACCYAGTGCTACACAGGGACCTTCATCCCCTGGGCAGAGAAAGTGAGGGGGTCAAGAGTCCCCCTGGGAGGGGATGCAGTCTCCCCTCAGGCCTGTGGAGATGCTGGACGGAGGTTTTGAGCAGTCTCTTTCCGCCCAAAGCACGGCCAGGCACTGAGCGAGGCCTCCCGGCCGATGCTGTTCCACTCGAGCGGTGGCGTTGGCTGCTTTGTCTGGCGTTGGGACAAATGTCTTCATTAGAGCACCCAGCAGGCTGTGCTAGCTGTGAGGCCTGGCTGCAGGCTGAGATGAAAGTGTGAAATGYCACCCAGAAAGACTAAATACTCATGGAATCATAGGATGGAAAGGACTTTTAAAGATCATCTCGATCCAACCCCGACTCCTGCCATGTGCAGGCACATCTTCCACTAGACCAGGCTGCTCAAAACCCAATATGGCCTTGGCTTGAACACTTCCAGGGATGGGTCATCCACAAGCTCTCTGGTAAACCTGTTCCAGTGTCTCAGCATCCTCAGAGTAAAGAATTTCTTCCTAATATCTAATCTTCCCTCATTCAGTTTAAAACATTACTTTTTATCCTATTGATATCTACTCACAAAAAAAAGTCCCTTTTCCTCATTTTTATAAGCTCCCTTTAGGTACTGGAAGGTGCTATAAGGTCTCCCTGTAGCCTTCTCCAGGCTGAATAACCCCAACTCTCTCAGCCTGTGTTCACAGGAGAGCTGCTCCAGCCSTCTGATCATCTTCATGCCCCTCCTCTGGRCTCGCTCTAGCAGGTCCACATCCTGGAGCCCCAGAGCTGGACACAGGACTCAGGTGGGGTCTGACAAGAGCCGAGTAAATATCAAGAAAACATAAATACACACTTCTTTCAGCCTGTTGCAGCTTGATTCTGCAATGGAGTGATGTGTCAGTGCAGATGGTTAAATTATCCTGCTGCATTTGACCACACTAGTATTTTTATACCATTGCACAAACAGAAATGAGTTTGTCCAATCCACTCTTGAGGCAAATTCTTTGCATTTATTGTGGGATTAATTTTTCCCCAATGGCTGATGCATCAACCACCCCATCCCTTTCTCCCTTAATCGCTGGCCTGAATTCAGAGGCAGAAATGAGTCTTGGGGCCTGACCCTAATGCTTGCCTGCAAATAGACTTTATGACTTACACTGAGCAAGACACCAAGCAGTAACATTATATACTGCTTTCTGTATTGTATTTCTTATTCATCTAGCATCTTTTCCTTATGAGGATCTCAAGGCCCACTGCAAGGTTTGACTAATTTTCAACAGCCTTCTGTGCTTTAAGTTGTTTTGTTTTTTTTTTGCTAATTACAGCTGAAATATTATTGCCAGAGCTGAAGATTGCTGTTCTTGAGCATCTCTCTACAACAGCACACAATAATTTCACTYGGGACTGTAACAATAAATTGCAACTTGTAATGGCTACAGTTCCTTGCATTTAATCATTTTCATTGAGGATTTTGACGTTCCTCTTAAAAAATTTCAAATCCAGCAATAGTAAATGCCGAGTCATAAAGGCTTAGGAAATGGGTCRAATCCAGAGTGCAAGGCAGCATTACAGTGTCTGATCTGCTGTCTCTGATAATACCCTCACAAGACAAGGGTCTCTTTTTTTTTTCCCCTTCCTGAATAAATGAATTGCAGCATGTATGAAATCTCCAGAGGCCATCTGTGACTGTAATTCATTTACCCACACTATTATGGAACAGATTTTCCAGTGAGTTCAAAACTCGGGAAAGGGGGGAAGGGAATAGTATGATGAGAAGGATCTGTGATCCATATCTAAAAGTAAAAATATTATTCAATTGTCATATTTGATGGATAAAGTGTCTGACACATCAGGCAAACCCATAGCAACTAGATAAATATGTTTAAAACATTTAATTTTGATACATTAAGAATGAGTTGGAGCAGGGGCTTATCGACACTGAAATTAAGCAGACATTTCTAAGTTCCTAAAAGCCTCTGATTTTGTTTAGTTTGGAAGAAAATTTGCTGCAGATAACTTGGAAGTGTAAGGGGAAGTTGGACTTGGTGCACAAAGGAGCAGCTCTGACAGGTCAGGACTAGCAATTACCTTTCTTCTTCATCTGTTATTTTCCAAGTGCCAGCAGCCCCTACTTCATCTGTGTTAGACCACAAGAGGCCTCTCAGCAATCTCACAGACCCTCGGCTTCTGCTTTTAAATTGAAATTAGTACATCATTTATGACTTTAGCTGCTACAAAAATATTTTTGTATATAGGGCACTCTCAATATTTCTGTAGTGCTGTTAACATTAAGTAATTGTAATTAGTAACACATCCTCATGAACAG